CCCCATGCGTCGGAATGGCGATCGCATCCTTCGGCCTCCAGGTCATCGCAGTACGTCACGACGAGATTGTCAGCTCACTCACTGAGGTCGTGTAGAGCGTTACGTATACTTACTGCTCGGACTGCTACAAGCCGCAAACGAGCGAAGTCTCATCGCTGTTCAATGTGATGCGACAACTATTCGGCTGTACCCTAGCGTTTTATTCGTGAGTGCTCCTTTGGTACTTCATCTTCCGTCGAGCCTGACAAACTGTGGGAAGCGTACCGTTTGGGAACAAAGTGGGCTACCAATGGTCGTTCACATGCTTCGCAGTTATCTGTATTGTCTTCTTCCTTCCGATTGTATGGCTCATGCGACGCGGGCAAACTGTCCGGGAACGCTTGGGGAAGCCATCATTCAACACAAGTCTGTAATACACAATACTTTAAGGAAGCAAATATTATAAACGTGTCCTTCCGTCTGTGTCAACCGGATGCTCACCCTTCAGTGATCTCAGAACCCGTAACTCCTGTTGCTAGACACCGTCTGAAACCGTCCTCCTGCTGGGATACCAGGCTGCGGCTCCTTTGTGGCTAAACTTTGCGCGTACAAAAGCGCCAGAACCACGACACAACATGTAGTACAAGAAACGGGATGCACCACGCTTATACCGACGTCGATCATCCTGCAGGATGACTTGTCCTACTTTCCTTCGGGAGGGACCGTATATGTACAGGCGGCGGCGTCGCCGTGGAACGAGGAGAACAGGGACTTGGTGCTCTCGCTCGCGCCTACTCGAGTACTACTACCTCGCCAAGCAATGGGATCTCGACGGATACACCGGCTGTCTACATGGTCCCTAAGCGCGATAATACACCGCGCGCCGCGACGCTTTGCTCCACGGCTGTACGATGACTTCGCCGAGGCCATGCCATACATAGTATAAGGTTTACGGTGTACACTGTCAACAAAGCCTCTACATGTCGTTTATCCTACAAGTGCCACACAGCCAGCGTCAGGGTGGCGAAAAGCAAGCCGCCGGCCACCTGCACGGCACTTGCTGATGACGGATCGGACTGCGATGGCTTCGCGGGAGCGTCCTGCGGCTTCTCCGTCTGCGTGGGCTTGGTGGATGTCGTTGTCGCCTCGGCAGTCTCTGGCGCTGGGACGTCTGATTCCGTAGTGGTCTTGTCTTCCTGTGGCTTGTTCTGCTGGTCAAATGTCTACACCAAAGACACGTGTCAGTATCACTCGTCGAGGAGAGGGCAGCGGTGACGCAACGCACATATTGGACGGCCCCCAAGTGCATGTCTGCCTCCTCACATTCCGCGACCGCCGAATGATATGAGGTTTGGTTCTCTACCCACTTCTTAAAGACGGCGTCGTCGTGCGCAGGATCATCTTGCTCCTCGTCCGCTGCAGTGTCATCGGAGGGGTCATTGCCTGCTTTCATAGCGGCCTGCTGGTCCTCGAAATAGCCGCGGAGCTCCTTCATCGTGGCGTTCCACGAATCGCCCGTACATAAGTCGTCCTTCTGAGCCTGCGCCTCATCGACATCGGCCTGCGTCACATGCGCAGGGTCCAGCGCAACGGCAAAGAGAGCGAGTGAAGAGAAGAAGAGGAGGACCTGGATCTTCATATGGTAGAGTCGAAAGATGTGAATATGTGCGAAGAGAAAGGTATTAATGGGGGGTGACGAGCAATGACTGTTGCATTTATATGGCGAGCAAGAAACGCCACTGTGGGCAGAGCCACGGGCGGTGATCAGTGTACTGGCGTTCGCTGGTGGCCGTCAGCATGTAAAATCCGACGCCAAGCCACCGGTTCGTCCAGAAGTTGATGGGCAGAGAACTGTCGCAGAGCTCAGCCTCAGTTGGAGTACTCCTGGCGGTCGAAAGATTCTATAGTGTATCGATATCGACATCGATCGCAACGGCGAACCAAGGAATACTCGTACAGTACATAGTTAGCGGGAAAGCGCGACGGAGACCGAGGATATCGAGTTGGGTGTGTACAGTTGCAGTTACAAATTCAAATTATTCCATCCCAGGGTTATGCACGCAGGTCGACAACGGTCGGCGAGGCGGCGGGCGGGCGCTTCACTTTGCCTTTACGTTTTGATATTCGCGAGGTGGACGCGGAGGATGAGGATGTGGCCTCGGATGGTGCCGCTTCTAATAACTCCTCTGTGCGTGCGTCCGAGAGGGCGGTGGCAGGCGGCAGTGGAGTACTGGTATCAGGCAGTGCCGGTGCGGTGGCCTCTTCAATATCCTTCGCAGCCATCGTCGCGGGGTCTTCCGCTGTTAATGCCGAGGTCGACGCTGGGTCTGGATACTCAACGACGACCGTCGCTACCGGCTCCGGTTCGGACGGCGAGGAAACGATCACAGCGTCCAGAGGCGGCGGCGCAAGTTCGACCAGTACAGCGGCGCTCGCGCTCCCAGGACCCGAAGTGGACGCCTCGGGCAGGACACTCGGACTACGACTCGCACGCTCGAAAGCATGCACGACACGTGCCACGCTGCGCGCGCGCGTTACGCTCGCACCTGCCTCATCCGGATCCTCCACTGCGATAGGTACAGGCGCAGCCTCCGCCGTCGTCTTCGTCGGCGTGGGTTTAAGCGTCTCTTCGCTCGCAGTAGGCGCAAGAGGCGGACGCGGCTGAACGATCCGCTCATAATACAGCATGAACGTCCCCTGCTGCTCCGCCAACACGCGCTCAATCGGTACTTCCACGACGCTATCGTCGCTGATACGTAGCCACGCGTTGCTCGCGTCGTGGAGAGGGCCGAGATGGATGCAAGGCCCGCAGGCACATCCTAATGGATGCACCATCCTCGGCGTGCGTACGGGTGGTTTACGACGGAACGCGACGTAATGCCCGAACGAATGCGCGCCGTAGTGGCATACGACGCCGCTCAGACGATAGAGCACTCGTTGAACATTGAACGACGCCGGCGTAGGCGTGAGCGAGCGATGTAGCGGAGGCGTAGATATAGGCGCTTGGGGTTTCGTCGAGAGTTGACCGGAGGTGGTGAACGGTGTCAAGTCGAGGATCTCGGGGAACGCGACGCGGCACGAGTTCTTGCCTGCGTAAGTACCGAAGTGCATTGAGCGGTTGAGGTGCAGAACGAGGACGGGTGGCGGTCGCGCGATCATGGCTTGCTTGGTGGAACACGAGCTAAAGACGCGTTCGAGCTTGAGGTCCTTGATATCGTCCTCGATGCGTCCCTCTTCCAGCGCACTCCGTACGCGCTGCTCCATCCTCCTCGTCGCCCTGGCGCGCTTCTTCTTCGAACTCGTCGCCGGCTCGTCCTTTGTCGAGTCGTCCAATCTCGCTACTTCGGCCTCGAGACGCTTGTGCGTCGCAATCATGGAACACCGGCGACATATACAGTCCGTGAGAACCTCGATGCGCGTGTAATCCGCCAGACAGTCTTCGAGACGACACTGCGCCGTGGGCGGGACAGTCAATTGCCAGTTGTCGAAGGCGAAATGCATGACGGCCTCGGTGTACCCGCAATCGACGCAGCTCCGGCGGTTGGCGGTCAGACCGTCAAACGGTCCCTTGCCCGCACGCGCTGTACCGTCTGATGGTGCGAGTAATACGGCACCTAGCCCACGGTCGCGCGTGCTTTCTCTGTCGATAGCAGCGGCCTCATCCTTGACGCACTCTGACACGAGTTGGAAGAGCTCTTGCGCGTCCTGGTGCTGCATCGACGAGAAGAGCAGACTCGTCTTCTGGCCCGGAGCAGGGTTAGATAATGCGTCTATAATGCGCATCGGACGCAGAGCGCGGCGCGAGTTGTGTGGCGTGTTGAGCTCTGGTGATAGGTCAGAACGCGATTACGTGTAGCAGACGCGCGTACGAGCGAGCGTGTCGCGCAGGGCGTCGAGCACAGGAGACGGTACGTCTAAAAGCACTGCACGGTCGTGCAGGTCATCGAGATACGGTCGCAGGTACGACAGCGATGCGAGCGCCTGGCGACCGGTAAGCCACGAAGCACAACAGGGTCTCAAGCAGCGAACCTGGAGCGTTGAGTTCATGAAACAGTAAGTCCCAGATACGTTGACTAGTCCAGGATAGACATCGCCAAAGCCGTCTGGAGACCGTCAGACAGCGCGTGAAAGCTGTGGCCGTGGCATACCGTCTACAGACGCAATAGCCGTTGAATCCGACCTGGAACGACCATGTTTCTTTTTCTTGAGTTTCCTGGATGTCGTTTCCTCTGAGTGACCGCCAGATCCCCAAGAGAATGGCAGAGAAAATCCCAGAGACTCCAGGACCATTGTGGGCGCGCCGACAGATGAAACCAGTCTGAGGAGCAGCAGCGGCGAGATGAATATGATTATGGCGAGTAATATGGGTACTAGAGGGTTTGCCGCTGCGAGCTGGGCGATGCTGTATCCGACGTCGTCCAGCATAGACGTGAGCGAAGCCAAGAGGCTGCCGAAGATTCGGACTCAACCGTTTAGCCCTTAACTTATACCACGAGCCTCAACGGAGCATGTCATATTTTCCGTACGCGTCTGAGGTTTCAAGAAATTCGGGCTTAGCTTGCAGGTCTTGGAATACTTACCCTGGGAGCTTGTCTTAAGTTGTCTAACACCGTCTGGGTCACTGGCGTCTGCGGTCGACTCCTTGTCACCCGTTCTCACGAGTCTTCATATCGCCACGTTAGAAATTCCTTATCCTGGCGACACGGTGCTCTAGCGGACGAGTCCACGGCGTACTACACGCGGGCACGCCATGCGCACGAGCAGCACATGCATTCCAAGACTGTTGCCCCGATGAATTCAACCTGGCGTCTACGTGTTGTTTCGAGTACATCTACTGGTCATGGGCCGCCTCTATTGCAGCCTTATGAGTAGACGTCAGAAATGGGTGCCGAGTCAGTGGCTCCGGATTCCAGTCCGATACTTCAGATGCCACTGGGTAACGTTCAACAAGCACGAGTATTATTGCAGTCTTGTAGACATAGCAGTGTGAATGAGTATTGCGGTACAAGTTGAGAAAACATGGCCTCGTGGCGTAATGGCAACGCGTCTGACTTCGAATCAGAAGATTGCAGGTTCGATCCCTGCCGTGGTCAATGAAACTGTCCTTTTGTCTTTACCCTCACCCTCAGACCTTTTTTCCTAAAGGTTCCCTATCCTTGCTCTTTCCTCCGTATCAGGTCCATTGCGCAATGTTCATTACGTACGTTTGACTTAATGCGTTTATGATGGCCTCTCACCTCCTAGGTCTCGTTCATCGACGACATGTCCGGTATATCTTCTAGACCAGGTGTAAGATCGATGTAAGTATCACCTTTCGGAGGAGCCAGGCGATATTGTGGCGTTGTTTGGTGGCGACTTAGCCCGCCACCAATGCTCGGCAATATAACTCGCGGGGCATCGAGTCCGGTGTTTGTTTACCGCCCCTTGCCTCCGTTCACCACCACCGCCATCAGACACAGTCACAATGGGACAGCGGCACCAGCTCTTTGTTATTGCTCGCATCCACGGTCGCTATCGATGCGTAGCCGCATTCCACTCGCAGTGGCTCTACGGTGGACAGACTATCACAGCTGCCGCGCGCCTCTTGCGAGCCTTCGAGAATCCGTTCAACGCGCGCAACATCGCGGCAGAGATTCTGACTCTGGAACACAACAGGGGTTTGGAAGGCGCCGCAGAGGCACCGTGCCCTTACCTTACTAGCATTGTCCTCAACGTCTTTCGCGTCGACTTCGACGAGGGCGTGACCAAGACTATGTACATCCTGCCGTACGGAATCCTTCCATCGAACTGCGATAACAACGACGTACGTTCTTTCGTCTAGATGTGTTAGTGCATGGGATTTTTGACTGACGACTTGCGACAAACAGGGTTATACTGTGTTCGACTTGACCCCGAAAGAGACTCCGCGATACTGCTTTTTCTACGCGGTACCTGACGGGAAGCCATTGAGTCCAGCGCAATACATGAGGTACGCTCCGACTTACTCCTCGCTGCCTACCCAGAGCTAAGGTAATTACAGGTACTACGATGGAGGATTTGATGGCATCGAGGCGGACGTCGAGTACCTCAACACGTTCGCTAGCGTTCCCCAAGGCGTGCTGTCCGCTACGTGGCCCGCGGATTTCCCCAATACGCCCACGGCTACCGACACTGCACCCGAGTCTACCTCCGAGTCTCAGTCCGAGGGTCCACCCTCTCTTGCTACTCTCTCGCTCAAGGCGGCTCTAAGGGATCTACTTGCCTCTGACGGCCCTGCCGCGCACGACGTTCTCGATCCGATTCTCACGAGCGTGGCGCAGAACCTGGAAGTTGTCAAACACGAGCTCCTCCAAGGTACTAGCCTCAACAGCAATGGACTGGCCGTGCTCAAAGTTTTGTTGGCCTCTTCTGCCGCTAAGTTCTGCGGACGTCGCGGTGGATCTGTCCCCTTGGCTTTGCACCGGCGTCCTGACGCCAGATCAACTCGAATCGCTTTCGGATGCTCTCGTGAACGCGACCACACTGAACGTCACAAACAGTCCGACTCTGACAATCGACGTCTTGCAGTCTGTCATCAGCAAGATGCCGAACCTACAGCATGTCATAGCCTTCGACTGTCCTGCACTTGAACTGCCTACCGTATCTCTTACGCTCTCGTCCTATCTCGAGACCAAGGATATAACAGCGTCTCTCACATATAGCAGCGTCTTTTCGGGGGGTACGCATTACACGGACTGTGTCCGCTACGTTGACCCTGCGAGCCCTCCTGCGGGACTCACCGTCCTCGTCTACACTCGCTCTCTCTCGATGATTCCCAGACCGACGGACAAGGAGATCCAATACGGAGTCGAGTTGTCGGCCTTCAGCGCTACTGGTGTCGCGCACGGCTTTGAATCGCTCTTGCGTCTTCTATTCTTCGATCAACTGTCGATGTTCCTTGGATTCAGCGGTCTTGAATTTCCGATGCGTGCTGCGTTCCAGAAGCTCGACAATAACGGCGCTCTTGGGACTCTTCCGCCTCTTGTTGGCAACCCACCCCCTATGTTGCAGTCGGAGTGGGGCCCATTTGCCATCCCCCTGCCCGGGTCTCAGAGCACACGCACCAGTCCCGCACCTCGGTATCCAGGTTGGACCCTCGTACTCGACACCAGAGCTGGAGTCCCGATCATTCCTGGATGGAGGGAGACCCGACCGCTTCTGGACGTGATTAGGGAGAAGAAGGGAAACGAGATGCTGTATCGCCCTTTCTATGGCTTTGTGCGCTGGGACTACGACGAGGATGGCGCAACCCTGGTTCCACGACAGGTGTGCGACCTTCGCGAATGGGCCGCGCAGCTTCCACGTGGTCGTGGGAGGCTGGAAGAGGAGGCGGCGCTCGAGTTGGAGAAGACTCTTGCCGAGCAGAAGGCTACATTGATCTCGCTTGCCGATGCTGCGAACTCTGGGAACTGGCCGGACGAGTTGTGGAAGCCTCTTATGACTTGACCGTACCAATGAGTATTTCTAGACTTTTTGACATTTAAACTCTGCTGCTATCGTTTATTCAATGCGATGTATGCGCTCGAGAACACTTCCGAAGGAGACTTTTGTTGCGCGGCGCGGAGTCAAAAAGTAGCTTTGCCTCTTGACTTCTTACCATCATCATGAGCGCGCCTGAGTTAACTCCCGTCGCCGCCGCCGCCGTCAACGACGATGTTCAACGTGGTTTCGTGGGCCAGTACGAGGTCGACGATGCGGCCGTCCCTTACTATCGCTTCCCGCCGTGGCCACAGCCGCCGCCGGGAGTGCCTATCGTCCCGTTCAAGGCGTTCAAACCCGTGGGCATCGTCGTCGACGATGACGGCGGCGAAGAGAAAGATGGCGCTGGAATCGCGACCGTCATGCTGCCCGTTCAGCACGGCGAGAACGCGACTGGCAGCAAGGGAGCCAAGAAGCGCCGACGCGCTCAAGCCGAGAAGAACGCGCTGACCGGCGTGCGCTTGACTTGGGACCAGCAGTGGGAGGAGGCAGATCGACTCGCGCCGCGTAGAGCTTACAATCCGTGAGCATTTTCAGATTGTGGCGGCTCGAGCTTTGCTCATGGATCTCGCAGGAACGAGGTCATGGCAGACAGATTACACCAAGCGATCCACGAGTTCTCAGGAAGCAGGACATGGACCCCGCACCTGCAATCGTGTTTCGACTTCGTTCGCACCATTTGCAACGCGCTGCTTCTCCTACTGACGCGTCGTTGCAGTTCAGACAGTTCATCGGCATTATCACCAACCCCAACCAGCAGCACCGAACGAAGAAACGAAGTGCTGACGAAGAACCAGACATTTCGGACGACGATGATGACGATGAAGACGACATCGCGCCTGAAGGCATGGGTGCTGCAGCTGCCTCATTCGACCAAACGCAATTTGAGGCCAATATCGTCGAGGTCGATGACGAGGAGACCGCCGCAGAGCGTCACCGCGACGCTCTGCTCGATCGCTTTCTTGACAAGCCCGATCACGCGATGAAGGTCTTCTTGTCGTCCTACTTCTCTGCTAAAGGCATGCTCTGGTACGATCTACCCTTACACCTATCAGACGCAGCGTAGCTGACTCTCAGGAGGGATCCTGCAAAGTTGCGCGATGCACCGATCCTGATGCGTTTCTTCATTGACAACCTATTAAAGCGCGGTGTCCTGCTCGAGGCGAGCAAGGCGCTCGAGCGCGCGCATGCTGTCACGGAACTGGCGAAGGTTGAACTTCCGGCGACCAGCGACATGAGTAAGGTGCTCTCACCCGAAAAGTTCGGCGAGCTTTGCAAGCGCGCTTGTAGCGTAACCTTCACGGCCAATGACCACGAAAATACCACCTTCGAGCGCGAGCCGCTGCCGGATCCGGATACGATGCACGCGGAATCTCTACAGGTCGACCTCAACGGCCAAACCGTCGACTTCTCGTCTGCTACGGCTGAAGATGCACTGTCCGGGTCTGTCTTGGATGGTGTCAAAACTGGCGGAGCTGGATGGGGCGATGCTGCAGCCTCCGGGTGGGACACTCACGAATCCGTGCAACCGGAGGCCGAGGACTGGACGCAAACTGGTACACCGGAACGCCCGCTGTCCGAATGGCTCGGCGGCGTCGACCCGTCATTCTTGAAGCCATACCGCTCCGAGCTCTCTACGCGTCGACTCATTCGCATCCTCCCACCGAACCCGGGAACAACTGGCCCCGCGTCGCAGCTTGCCGCACTCATCATGGGCAAGTGGCATTGCTGCTTTCCCAATGAAGTCGGTTACCCACAATCGTTACTCAACGAAGGCGACTCGGACTGGGTCCCGGGAGAGGAAGAGATCAGCGTGTTCGTGCACCCGGACGTCGCGGAGAAAGTGTTACCGGGCTTCGGCTTACAGTGCGTATGGGTACAGGTGCGCGAGGAGAAGAAGAGCAAGGGTAAGAAGAAATCGCAGAGCTGGTGGTACGTCGAGTCGCATCGCGCTGCGTTCATGACGTACTGGACGGTCGACGAGCTCGAAGAGGGTGTACCGAAGTACTAGTAGCTTATGTGCGTGCAATCATGGTGCGGTAGGTCTCTGTCGTTACTTCATCCGCTTTCCGTGCAGTGTACTTGTAGTAACAGCAAATTCGAAGGAGAATAGCACAAAAGACTTGAACTAGGATGCCAACACAAAGATTTTCAGCTGCCGAGTTATGTAACATGTGGGCTAACTTTCACCTTGCAGGCTTCAGCCGGGCGCCTGTGCACGACGCTCTTGAACTGAAAATTCTGTGCATACCAAGCCGTTCAGCAGTAGCGTATTCCTTCTCTGTTACCAAAGTGAATGACTCCCTCCCCTCACCTCTCACTCTGAATGTCACGCGTTTTCATGAGGTATCGGTGAGATGGGATAATTTGCTCTAGTCCATTGCAGGAGTATGTATTATTACCGAAGTACAATGCGTGACAGCCCAATGTGTATGTAGATGTATGATATGTGTATGCAAAGCATCCTGAATCTATGCGGCAGCGGGCTCGACCTTCTTCTCGTCCGTAATTGGCGCGCCGCCCTCGACGTCTACCTGACTCACATTGCCGGCCGGCGTGAGTTGACCTTCCGGGACAACGTCACCCTTCGGTCCAC